AGTCAAGAAAAATAATTCGTTTCAACATTTTATTTAAGTCATCATTGGTAGAGAAAACTATGAATATAAAATACAATAATAAATAAAATTGTTTGACACAAAAGTTCCCTGGAAAAAATGGATTAGATCTAACTTAAATTTAACGAGATAAAAAAAATGAAAAAATAGATCTAATTAGATCCCAATTAAATTTAAATAGATATAAAGTAGATCTAAATAAATATAAATAGATCTATGTAAATTTACACTTTTACATATTATTAAATCTACTTTAGATCTACTATATTAAAACTACTCAGATTTACTTAGATTTACGCAGATCTGGACAGATCTGAGGTGATCTAATATAATAAATCTGAGTAGATCAAAAGTAGATCTAATAATAATTAAAAGAGTGTAAATTTACATAAATTTACTTATATCTATTTATATTTACTTTATATTCATTTAGATCTATTTTATATCTATTTAGATTTAAGTTAGATCTAATTAGATCTATTTTTTCATTTTTGTTTATCTCGTTAGATTTAAATTAGATTTAATCCATTTTTTCTCGGGTTTTTGATATATGACGATGAACTGGACAAAATTATACCTTGAAATTTGTAACAGTCTTTCAAAAGCAACAGAAATTGACAATGTGGTTTTATCGGAACATGTTAGTTAAATAAATAGTCTGGTAATGTCAACAATGCTAACAAATATTAACAGTCAATTTGAAGAAATTGTCAACATTGAGCACCATTTGAGCATTTTGAAGAAAAGTCACGGTATAGAAATATAAAAATAACAAAACAAATGAAAGCTCTATTTAAATAAAAGTTACTTAATCTTATTCAATATCGGTAAATAAATATTATCTAGGAGTTTGATGTCTTTCATAACAATCAAACTATTGTCATGTACTTTGATATATAGCATTTTAGATGTTAAACATTAAAAAAATAATTGCGCTCGTTATCTAAAATTTGTATGAAATCCCAAGCGATACTAGTGTTAAAACAATGTTCGAATAATCCAGAACTGTCTTGATTATGTTTAACATAATTGGAGTGCTCTTTTATTTTTGTTTTCAATTGTCTTTTTGTCTGACTTATATAATTACATTCACAAGAATTACAACAAATGTTATAGACTACATTCTTGCGTTTGTCGAGAGGTATTAGATCTTTGTGTGTATTATAAATTTATAATAAACAAGAAGAAGATTCTTCGGTCTCCGGAGTCTTTAAACAAATGAATGAAATAAATTCGGATGTAGGAGCCGTTTGCAGGATGTTATGTAGAGAATGTGCTTGAAAAAATATATATGTAAAAATAAAATTATTTCGACGTATATATGTGTATACATATGTGTATATATTTTCAAGTACATTCTCTACATAACATCCTGCAAACGGCTTCTACAACCGAATTTATTTCATTCATTTGTTTAAAGACTCCGGAGCCCGAAGAATCTTCTTCTTGTTTATTATTAATTTAAAATTTACGCTGGAAGATGGCGTTATTATCAGATTAATATTCGATAGATGTGCTAAGTATTGCGAGACAAACTCCAAGTGCCTCGGTGGCCTAACAGGAAAGGCGACGGCCCGGAAAGCTGGAGATTCCAGGTTCGACTCTTGGCTGAAGAGTTTTTTTTCGCAATATTGTAAAAATCATTTAGGGGGGTATTCGGGGTCCTTCATATATACGTGATGAAAATCCAGTATCCTATATGGAAGACAAAAATTATTCCGACGTATATATGTGTATACATATATATATTTTCAAGCACATTCTCTACATAACATCCTGCAAACGGCTCCTACAACCGAATTTATTTTATTCATTTATTATAAATTTGTCTAATCTGGTGAAATTTCTATATGATAATCAAATCTGGCAGGTATTTAAATTTTTTATCACAAAACTTACATGTCACAAAATAGGCACTATTTTTACACTGGTAGATAGAACCATTCTCTTATCAGATCCAGTTTATTACTATAAGAACCTTAAGTTTTGCATGAACATTTTAATGAAACATAACTCCGTTACAATTTATTTTTCAAACCATAAACAGAAGACTAGGATCCTTTTTTGCTATCAAACTCAATAAAACTGAGAAGTGTTCAGTAATTAACGAGTGTTACCGAAAATTCTACATTTTATTTTTTGTTACCTTACATACCATCGATCAAAACTTATAACAAAAATTTTTTTAAAGATAAAAAAAATCAATAAATCTTAAATTAGATTATTTGGTAAATATACAGAATAGGGGAGCCCTCTCCGATCGGCTTCTCGTTCTCATATATTGTAAATATGATCTTCCTGAGTATATTTCTAAAAGTTTTAGCCGTCGCTAATTATTTATAAAAAAACTTATAAACAAAAAAAGTTTTATACCTAAATTTTTATTTTTCGACATTATGTACATTTTAAACAATTAAAGAATCTCTTCAGGCTCTGAAGTTTCTAAACTAATAAATATATATATTCGGTCATAGGAGCCGTT